GGGGGGGGGGGTAACTGCAGTTCAATAACCTCCGCTGATGAACTCAATTGCGAAGCATTCCTTGACAATGGGTTGTCCATACACCAGAGCTAAACTGTAAAGAAACATAAAATGGGTAGATCAGATTATAACAAATCCTTCAAAATTCTTCAGGTCTCAGTTGTACCTATCAAAAGGATCCAACCTCAAGACCTTCTTTCCATCCATGACAAGTTCTCCAAATGGATGTCTGAAACAATCCACTTCCCCATCCGGTCCGCAGTGTGCATATTTTATGCAAGGCAAAATCCCAGGTTTGGCCATCCCAGATGGTTCCCAAATTGGCGGAGTTCCAGAACATGACATGATGTGTCTCCAAATCTTATTCCTGAACTGGAAAGCTAAGCCTGATTGAATTGCGATTACATGATCTTGAGCAAATGCCAAATAGGCTTTTATCTGTAAATGTCCAAAAGTGCCCTTAAGATTGATAGAAGAGTTGGAAAAATAAGAGGAGAAAAGAAAATGTGGCCAGCAGCTGGCGAAATCTGGATCTTTTCAGTTCCGATTTCTTGGAAGAACAAAGTAGTGAGTGTCATTTAACCCGAGTTGGGGGGTTGAGGGAAAGGGTCAATTTTCTCAAGGGGTGAGGGCTTTTGTTTGTCATTAACCCCGGCAGCATACCAAGTTCACAGGCTCTCTTTGTCCTGTTTGTTTCCTTGCCAAGGGGATTATTTTTTGATATCAGGCATGTCCCAAGATGCGCAGATTACAAAACTCAATATCTTTAACCCTTCTCAGGGAATTTGACTCTGCTGCCAAAGTTAGGAGAAAAAATTCATCACAGAGAGTATATAAAGTAGAGTTTTATTATATTTGTCAAACACTAAATATGCTACAGTTGCTGCAGAGCAAAGCAATGTGGATGAGGCATTTGGTCAGAGTCTGGTGCAGTTAACTTAACACAACATGAAATGCACCTGTCACTTCCCTGCACCTGTGCATGAAATGCATGTGTCACTTCCCTGCACCTGTGCATGAAATGCACCTGTCATAGCTTGGCCAGCCAAGGTCAAGGAATGTGCATAGAAACCAATTTGGACCAGGGATGTCACACTTCATTCATTTAAAAGGAAAGAAGCATGAGCGCTGTTGGAAAAGGATTCCGTCAACAACAGGATTGTGAAATATAATTGCTAGCGCACCAGGCCCAGCCAAGCATAGCTAAAATACATTAGCTTAAAAGGGTTGTGCAGAAAGTGAGGGGTGTTGTGGTTGTTATTATGACTACAAATCAATGACTGGCATTACATAAATTTTCCATCTAGGCTTGTGACCTCTTTATGTCATTGACTTGAAACCACATGGCCTGCGTTCCAGCCAAAAAAACCAAGCAATATAAAAACCCTGCTGAACCTTCCAAAAGCCAGTTATCAACGTCATCAATCCTGTAGTCGTCAGAGTTCGTGACAACCAAAATCCAACTTGGACTGACGTAATTCACGTCAGCTACGTCTGACCATACGTGTCACGAATGCCGCCACCTGAAAAGCATCCTGTCGATGATATCTCCGACGATGAGTATGTTCCACCAGCCCCTAGCCTTCAAAAACAGCCCAAAAGTACTGTCGTTGAGGTTGGAAGTACCACAGGTAACAAGGATCTCAACAAAACCAGAGATCCTTCAGAGGAACCGTTTGATTTCCCTCCATCTTCATCTCCAAAAGCAAAGCAGAAAGAGGACTTTCATTCTTCTTTTGAAGGGGGTGGTTCTCCCCAGTCCTCTAAAAATTCTGAAAATTTTCAAACTTTTTCTCCTTCTATTCCAACTAAAACAATGGCTAATGCAACTCCATTCTCAAGCTCTGAAGACATCTTTGTCTCAGCTGACAATTCTATGCATGAAGAGGAAGAAGAAGTTGA